CTTCATTCAGGACTTAGATGATTTTCTAAGCCTTTTCTCACTTGTCCGCTTTCTGAGAATTCCGGTCTTTGGTGAGTCTTCCGATTCTTAGCTGACAAATCCGGATGAGTCTTACTTCCGGGTGAGAAGGAGATCCGCGCTAGTCTTCCGATTTGAATGACTTAGCCTTCAGCGGGTTGTAGCGAGACATCCGGTTCTTTTGTAGTCTTTCCGGATCTGAGGATTTTTATCTGATTGAGAAATCCTTACTTGTTTCTGACACTTCCGATCAAGATATCCAATTTTCATATCACTAAATTTGATCAAGTCTTCAGGCATCAAAACGCTTAAAGAAATATCACAGTTTTATTGGAAAACTCAAGAACTTGGTTTTAACAATATTTCTAAAAAGAAAAATTACATTGAATATTGGGGGAGACCTAAAGTCCCTATTACATAAATAATCATCAAAATCTATAATATTTTTCCCAACATTCACCCAATATAAATTTATAAATGTTAAGTTACATCTTAAAAATGGTAAGTTACAGTGTAAACTTTCTTTGATTAAAATAATAGGTGAAATTAGCAAGATAAAGTACAAAAGCCAAATTGCCAAGTAATTTGGTTTAAATACTTGATCATTTAAAAAAATAGTCGAGTCATATCATAATATATAAAATTTTAATATAGGGATTAAAAAGTATTTGTTATTTTACATTAATATTTAAATAAATAAAATAAAACTAACTTTCCTTAATCATAACATAGAGAAATATGAAATTTTTTTAAAGATGAAGAGAGTAGTTTATATGTTCGTTGAGGGTTAGGGTAGGCGAGGAGGGTTATGGTTTTATGGCTTTGATAAATATGACTCCAATACCATGAAAAATTATATTTTCTTTGAGATTATTGTGTGGGAGTACATGTGTTTATATATACAAGTGTTCCTAATCTTATACAAGATATGATTGTATAATAGGAAACAATATATACAATAAATGTAGAATATATTTAACATCCAAAAAACATTTGGATTTCAAATTATGAATTTTGAATTTCATGTTTTTGCCAAATGTTGGAATAAATTTAAATTTTGGGATTTCAAATTATAGATTTGAAATTCAAGAATTGAAATGAATTCCAAAATCCAAATGCTACCTTATGAGTTTTAGATTCTTGTTTATTTTATTTATTTTAATATCAATATATAAATTCATTATATGTATTACATCTTGTAAGAAGAGAGAAATTTAACTATAAATTCATAAAAAAATGTAAACATATCTATATGTAACATTTACATTTTAGGACCACAATGAGAAAAGTCCTCAATTTAACGCCAAAATAAAAACCATTAAAAATTTACCATAAATGGATTAAAACATAAAAAAATATCAAAATAGGAGCTCCATGTTTTTATTCTTCTCAATTCCAATTTCATACTTACTTCATCCAAAGTTATTTTCACGTTTACTATTCACTTATCTGAGTCAAACTTTATTCATTGTATTAAATTACTTTCAATATCTCTTTAATACAATAATATAATGATGTTAACTCTAATTTTGTAAATCTTTTAATGTTGTTTTTTAATATGTAGTTCTTATATTTAAATTACGCACTATTTTTTATATAAAGTCATCTGAAAATAACTCCAATAAAACATCATAATTAACAATGGAAAGATAATTTTTAGACGAAAGGAGTAGTTTGAATACCTTGTACGGAGTATAACTTAATAAACCTTCTAAAAAGAAAACCAAGTATAAACTCATAAAAATCGGCCCGGTTCCATGGCCACTGGAATCCAGTGGCCACGGAAGCCACTGCCCCCCTACGAAACTCCGTTAATAAAATTGATGATTCCAACCCCCGGTAAACCCCCCCGCCAAGTCCTGACCCAAACTCATCACCCCACCTACGTCAATTGCACCTCGTAAGTATAATTGACTTTAAAGTCAAAAGTTTTGACTTTATGCTTACGAAGTGCAATTGACGTAGGTGGGGTGATGAGTTTGTGTCGGAACTTGGCGGAGGGGTTTACCGGGGGGTTAGGGGGTAGGAATCATCAAATTTATGAACGGAGTTTCGTAAGAGAGCAGTGGCTTCCGTGGCCACTGGATTCCAGTGGCCATGGAACCGGGCCGCATAAAAATATGTATTTGGCATATGCATTTTAAGAGGGACAATAAGAAAACTTGTCTATATAACCCCAAAATAAAAACACATGCGTATTCTTTGATCTTTCTGAACCCTCAAAAATAAAAAAAGAATTCTCCCCAACTACTCAAAATAAAAACCCAAAAAAATCAAGAAACGGGAAGGGACAAAGAAGCAGAGGCAGTCGCCATGGCCGTCATCCCGCGGGAGACAGAGTTCGGAGATCTATGCGACGAAATCGCCCAAACCATCTTCTCTTTCGTCCCCTCTGAAATCCCTAGCGAAGCTGGAGACCATTTCCAAATCATGGCAGCAGTTGATTGCCAGAGTCCGGCTGCACCACCCGCCCGCCACCGACTCCGGTCCTTCGGAGGCGCCGGAATCTCTCAAAAATCCGTCTTCTTGAAGCTCCACTACCCCCACAACGCCGAGCTCTGCACCGTCTACTCCTCCGCCCCGAACAAATTCCCCTTCTTGATCGATTCATGCAACCGGTTAATCCTCTACGGCTCCGTGGACGACAAAAAGACTTGGAATTACCAGGCCCGCCCATTAACAGGTTCAATAGGTGCAACAGGGCCTCAAAAATATAGGGGCCCATATTTTTTTAAAGTCCAATAGTAATTATAAGCCCATTACCTAATATATTACTAAAGGAAAGCAAAAGACCGATGAGTTCCTCAGTTCCAGACTCTTCGGCTCTTCGCCTCTTCGAGTCTTCGATTCCTCTGCAGCGTCTAACGGAACTTTTTCTCATCTTCCCAGCGATTCATCCTCTTTTTATATCGCAAATCAGCCCTCTTCTTTCCTTTGCCGATTAATTCCTCAATTTCTTCTTATTTGGTGAGTTCTTAATTTTTATCTCTGTTTTTTTCCTTCAAATTGACCATGCTACTTTCATTTTCTCAATGAAAATTCAATTTTGCTGGGTTTTTTTGTGCATGGAAGTCAATTTAGGTGGTTTAGATTTGTTTGAAAATTATTTTAGTGTTAGAAATTTAATTTATTTTGCATCTTAAAATCTTAAATGATTCATTTTATCGTTTAATTGTCTCTTAATGTTATAAATTAGTGTTTCTTCTTTAATTTTGCAAGACCAGTAGTTCCATTCTAACTTTGGTTTTAATCATTGATTTTTTTTCAGAATTAATAAAAGAGTTTGAAGGCTATAGCTCATCATTCATCAAAGATATCAAGATTTGAAATTCCTCTCTTCATCCATTTCTGTCTATTGCAGTGTTCCACACTCTATTTGCTTATCCCAGGTTTTATTGTTTCTTCATATATTTAATTCTAATATGCCTCCTAAAATAAGAAAATATGAATCTGGGTATGCAAAACGTAAAGCAGTCGAGAGATCCCGCTCCTTTTTTATATTCTAGAGCCTTGAATTATTGAGTTGCACAGGCCACCTTAATTGATTGGGCGGCACTGGGAATTACATCATACATTCCCAGGTTTCCGACCAATCCATAGCCCTCCCTCCGTCGAACTCCGTGTACAGACCCGCATTCGTCCCACTGGCTAAGCCTGTAAATGGATAGTCGAAAATCCGATTACCGTCTGCATTCGTATCCGTTTAAAAAGAAAAAATCCGTATCCGTTTTAAACGGATATTATCCGCATCCAATCCGGGAAAACCGATTACGAAACGGATGCGGATTTGGTATTTATGAATCCGATCCGTTTAAAATCCGATTCGCATGGACATCCGTTTCAATAACCGTTACCGTTTATCCGAATAATCGTTTATCCGAATACCAAATTAAAATAAATGTAATAAATATAATTTTGTTATGTATTTACCCCAATTGCCAATCCAATAAAGTTGGGCTAGTGGCCCATTATGTGTATATCACAAATCTAACTCTACCACAACAATTCAACAAACAAGTTAATCCATAATCCCTCAGCCCTTCCGCCGTCCACAAATCATCCCAAAGCAGCCGCTGGAATCATAGACTCAGAGAATCACAGGAACTACTCCGATACCTCAGCCCGTCGGCCATCTTACTCCTTGACGGAACTGCTCTAATCTTTCTCTAAGGAATCGGCGAATCGCAGCGGACTGCCATCTCCTCCGATACCTCAGCCCGTCGGCGAACTGCTCCAATCTTTCTACAATCTTTCTCCAATCTTTCGGATTTGGTGTAAACGGATAATCGGATTATCGGATTTTAGGAAATTTGGATACTTAAACGGATGTCGGTCGGATACGGATATATCCGAATCCAAAAAAATCCGACGGATTCGGATTTGAAAGTTAGAACATCCGTCAGATTCGGATGCGGATACGGATGTTTCATATCCGATGCGGATTTTATCCGTTTACAGCTCTACCACTGGCCTTTGACCCGAGGAAGAACGCCCAATTCAAAGTCGTGGGCTTTTTCTGGAACGAGGTGAATCCCCTCTCCATTTCTGTGAACTCTATGGTTTTCAGGTCTGAATCTTGGGAGTGGATGCAGAAACAGGGGAAGCTCTTGAATTCGGGTCTGATTTCCTAAGAGGGCTTCGTGTTTGGACAGTGCTTCGGCCCTGCAATCTATATGAACTCAAGATTACATCTGATATGGTGCTTCTGTCTCTTAATCTTTGATGAAGACGGCGATGAATTCACAGTTTTGCCACTCCCAAGAAACCCCAATGGATCATCATATTCATACCACAATCCCTGCCACCGCTCGCTATGGGAATCGGAGGGCAAACTGAATCTTTGTGACCCGGATGAACACGGGTTCCGAATCTGGGAGTTCAGCAACAACACCCATGAATCATTATGGAAATTGCGTCGGTTTGTGGTTCTGGACGATTTAATTTCAGAAACGAGGAGGGAGACGGGGGTGAGAGTGACTGTGGGGAATTCCATAAGGTCCTCTGGGTTGAATGAGGATTTGCAGATTCTGTATATTCATGTGGTTGTGTGCAAGAAAATCGTAGGGTACAGCTTTGAGACTAAGAGGGTTGTGGGGGTTTGGTCCTATGTAGATGTGGGAGAAGATTTCCAGCTTCGTACATCCATTGGAAACAACTATTAGAAGAAGGGTATTGTCGAAGGCTTCTTCTGGCAGCCGCGCTTCACACAGCGCAGATCGGAGAGGGAAAAGAGAGGGAGTACTCTATCGACCAGAATGAAAACAGAGATGACGGGCAGACCTTCAAGAACAGCGCATCATGAGGGAGAGGTAAAGGTGAACGTCGTGGTTGCAGGAGTACAATCAACAATTCTTCATCTTTCTCAACATTGGCTCGGCGGCTACGGTACATTTCTATTTTTTTTCATCAAATTCATATAGAAACTCTCAAATTAGGAATAGCTAAGGGCACAACTCGGTGGTGATTGACATGCTAAATAAGAGGTGCATTTATTTGTTTCAATCTCTTTAATCCCTTTGATGCACTTCCTACGGGTGGCAGAGCTGGGCTAGGCCCGCAACACCACCTGGCTTGCTGGATTTTGGATTGGCTTTGGTCTCTGGTATCACATATTTCATTTCTAGAATTTTACATCCGAGCATATCTAACATTGCTTCTAAGTATCTATTATCTAACATGGCATGAATGGCTAACGGTGCAGGTTAAATGATTTGGGTGTAATTGGCTACCACTCACTGTATCTCCCCTTAATATATGCCGTGTTTTTAGTCGACTTCTTTCAGGTAGTTACAATGATCATTTTTTTTTCTTCCCAATGAAGAATGACATTCTTATATGCACTTTGAGCTTCATCTGTTACTTGACTCACCTCTATACTAATCGTTGTTCTATTTGGGGGCAACAAACAATTCAGGAAGAAGATTGGCTTTTGGAGGAGGCATACTATTCGGAGATGAAAGACGTGGGGTTCTTTGATGCAGATTGGAAATAGCATTTTACGCGTTGTGACCGCCTCATTGTCTATGTACTTTGTGAATATTTCCACTCATGTGAACTATCCACAACCCCGTCCTGGAAACGCAGTGGGGGCAAAGATCTTCCTCTTCGGTGATTGTGTGTAAACGGACCGTTCTTCTTTTAGAGATGCTAAGAATGTAGAAACTCTAAGGTTAATTCTTGGGGAACAACATCACCCGCGTCAGCGAGTAGATCTACTGGTCTTCTTGTTCTTTCAACGTGGTAGCAAGGTAATGCTTTCTATTCGCGTTTTATTCAATTTTAAAAAAATTCTTTCATACTTTGTGGTATATATGTAATTTGATATATTTTTGCACTTGATATTTCAATTATTCTCTAATAATTATCTTTATTTGAATGCATCAATCTACAGTTTTGAGTGTATTTCATAAGCTTACCTAAGATCAAGAGCCAATAGAGTGGGGTAACTTAAATTAGTGTTACACTGTCAATATATTTGTTCTTATTTTGATAGGTTACCGCGAGTATACTATGAATGTGCCTGATATTGTTTGTAGTCTAGGTTCTGTTTGGGAAGGCTGCATTGGCATATCTGCAGTGAAGATTTGAATTATGTTATTGATGAATCTTAGTTTTAATCATGTTATTGATGAATAATGTGTCTTCAAACCTTCATTTTCATGTAGTTATTCTTTGGGTGTTGTTATTTTTCTCAGTCAATGGATGAGCAAAAGAGAGAAATGAAGTTGATGGACCGTGAAGCTACAGTTTCCTCTTATGTAGGTGGTTCAAAAAGACTCAAATATGGTTGGTAGAGAAGGCATCCCTCTTCAGGAAGGATCAGAAAAGGTAAGACAATAGGCGTAACTTTTCCTCTCCAATTCTTTTTTTTGGAATAAATATTCTTAACAACTAGGCTTCTCAAATAACAAATGGTTTGAATTCTTTTTTATAGATAACAAGTCTGAGCAACTATAAACTTATCTTAGTAAGGGGTTGTTTTTGAGACCACATTGCTTTGGCACAGTTTAATGGTTTTGTCATTTACAAAAAAGGACTCATTAATGACCAAGCAGTAGTTTATGGGCAATACTGACAGTTGGGTTTGGCACAGAAATGGAAATAGCTTTTCTTGGATCCGACCAGTCCATCAATTGGCAATCACTTTAGGCCAAAATGCACACTAACGAAGTTCACAGTGAAGCATTAGCTGAATCTTCTCCACCAAGGATCTATACTAATTGCTCAAGAGAGAAGCAATCGATCAATTTCTCCACCAAGGTTCTCCAACTTCATACCGTAAACATTTTACCATAACTGTCCAATTCCAATTTGTATTTTGTTTGCGATGGATGTCTTAGGTAAATCCATAAATCTTACTTCTACTTATATTAATGTGTTCCCAGTGAAGAAGGGACATAGATCATATGAGCATACAATGATAGAAGAGCAGCTTCATCTATGGAAGGAGAGAATGCAAATGAGCAATTAATATTACAATAATGTTGAAGGATGATGAAGAATACCCAGAAGTAGAGAGATATCTTCATTTTGGTTTTTCTTTTTAAATCTTATGCAAATACCATATGTCTACAGGAGCAGGCTCATTATATCATTCCAACTATCCTTGATGCTCTGAATGGTTCTGAATCAATCCTAGATCCTATCACAAAAGTTTGCACTCAAGGTGTTCAACAAAATCCCTTAATGAGAATTTATAATTTCTAATTCTAGAGCATGAACAAGTATTTAATTTCTAATTCTGGCAGGTGATTCATCAAATACCAGGCCCCTTCCCGGCACCATGAATCTGATTCTAACATCTTTTGATCACGAGGGACAATATTAAGAAGTAAGGTCTTATGTATAACATCTTTTAGTATGTACAATTCTTTCTATTTTTTAATCCTTTGACACCTCAGTTTCTAATTTCTTTCAAGGAACATATTTAGTGAAAGAAGTGAGTAAGTCAATGATATGGAAATTTGAAGACGGTGTTTTATTTGTAAATTATTCTTAGCAGATATTCAGGACAGTGCGTGTGGATATAAAGGGAAAAGACGTGGAGGGACAGTGTTTGCAAGTGAAGACTAAATTTGTTGTTCTGTCCTGCATATGTTGAAATAAGATGAAACCTCAACCATGAAGGTTCTTTCAACACTTTCAAGATATGGGTAATATTTTTCTATTTCTCAGTTTTTCTCACTCCTTTCTTGAATCTACTGGTCTTTTTAGAAGCTTTTAATACATTATTTAAATGCTTTATTTAAAGTTCGAATGAAACTATTAAGACATTAATAGTTCTATAATATACTTGGATGTCATTTGAGAGTTTTTAGTTGCTATATGTGTTTTGATTATCCGAGTATAATAATAACATAATCTAATTAAAAGTTTTTTGGGCAAATCGATCCAATGAGAATCTGTTGCGGTTGTGATTTGAATTGGGATATAACATAGAAGACCAACTGGAGAAACCTGTTTCAGAAACGGGTTTAGGGTTTGAGAAGGCTGGATTGAAAGTGTAATCGATGAAATTGATCATAATACTGAAGAAATAAAAAAAAGAAAATTCCTTAAATAGGAAGTCATCAATTGGTATTTTCTCAACGTTTTAGAGGTTTCATGTTCAGTGAGAATGACGCCAATATTTGTTTGAATGTTATGGAAGTTTCATGTTCACTGAGAATGACACCAATATTTGTTCTTCTTTACATCAGTATGTGTTGGATAGACTGTCTAGAGAGGGGGGCCAGAGCCGAAAGCCTTATATATATAAAGTAGAGCAGTTTAATTGTCGTTACGCCATGTGGCATGCCACCTAAGATTATTCTGCTGACTCATCATTAAAATGCCATGCCATGTAGGATTAAAAAACTGAGAATTAAAGAAGAAGAGGAATACCAAGCGCATTTTTCATTTCCGATTAACTGGTACGGAGCACATAACCTTTTTAAATTATTTTTAGGGTTTTTCTCTTCCTTCTCCTCCCTGAAGAACGATGATTCGCTCTATTCATCGAATATTTGACGTGATGGCCTCGCTGGGAGGAACGAATATTGTAACCAACGTCCTCAAGAAGGCTGCGAAAGTTCTTTATTACTGCCACGAGAGGAATTCTGCCCGTCACTCCAAGCCACCAATTTGGACAGGTTTTTTTAATTCAAATCTTACTATATACAATGGTAGGATGCATTTTTCTACAGTGTTCCTGCCCATTTTTTATGCTACAGTGAGATTTGGACCGCACATTCTGATAAAATATCTTCCCGCATACTCACTCACTATAGATGTACTAGAGTACTGGAGAAGCTTTGCTTCTTCCATACTCACCCATCTTCCGGGTTTCTAGGGTTTCTTTTGAAAGCTTCCCGAAATTTTGGTCTGGGATTTCACACGATAGAAGCTTTGGAGTACTTGTGATTTTGGTCTGGGATTTCGCACGCCATTTTGGAGTACACGGAGATAAACCTAAAGCACATCCCAGGCAACCAGACATAGAGAGAGAACTACGGGAGATTGACTTTTCAATCAGATGGGTTGCAGTGACGACACAGCGGCGGTCGAGCATCGGCGACAGAGGAGGAACTGTGATGGATTCTAGGAGGGGTATTGTCGAAGGCTTCTCCTGGCAGCCGCGCTTCACACAGCGCAGATCGGAGAGGGAAAAGAGAGGGAGTACTCTATCGACCAGAATGAAAATAGAGATGACGGGCAGACCTTTAGGAACAACGAATCTTGAGGGAGAGGTAAAGGTGAAGGTCGTGGTTGCAGGAGTACAATCAACAATTCTTCATCTTTCTCAACATTGGCCCGGCGGCTACGGTACATTTCTATTTTATTTCATCAAATTCATATAGAAACTCTCAAATTAAGAATAGCTAAGGGCACAACTCGGTGGTGATTGACATGCTAAATAAGAGATGCATTTATTTGTTTCAATCTCTTTAATCCCTTTGGTGCACTTCCTACGGGTGGCAGAGCTGGGCTAGGTTAGCAACACCACGTGGCTTGCTGGATTTGGGATTGGCTTTGGTCTCTGGTATCACATATTTTATTTCTAGAATTTTACATCCGAGCATATCTAAAATTGCTTCTAAGTGTCTATTATCTAACATGGCATGAATGGCTAACGGTGCAGGTTAAATGACGTGGGTGTAATTGGCTACCACTCACTGTATCTCCCCTTAATATATGTTGTGTTTTTAGCCGACTTCTTTCAGGTAGTTACAATGATCAATTTTTTTCTTCCCAATGAAGAATGACATTCTTATATGCACTTTGAGCTTCATCTGTCACTTGACTCACGTCTATACTAATCGTTGTTCTATTTGGGGGCAACAAACAATTCAGGAAGAAGATTGGCTTCTGGAGGAGGCATACTATTCGGAGATGAAAGACGCGGGGTTCTTTGATGCAGATTGGGAATAGCATTTTACGCGTTTTGATCGCCTCATTGTCTATGTACTTTGTGAATATTTCCACTCATGTGAACTGTCCACAACCCCGTCCTGGAAACGCAGTGGGGGCAAAGATCTTCCTCTTCGGTGATTGTGTGTAAACGGACCGTTCTTCTTTTAGAGATGCTAAGAATGTAGAAACTGTAAGGTTAATTCTTGGGAAGCAACATCACCCGCGTCAGCGAGTAGAGCTACTGGTCTTCTTGTTCTTTCAACGTGGTAGCAAGGTAATGCTTTCTATTCGGGTTTTATTCAATTTTAAAAAAATTCTTTCATACTTTGTGGTATATATGTAATTTGATATATTTTTGCACTTGATATTTCAATTATTCTCTAATAATTATCTTTATTTGAGTGCATCAATCTACAGTTTTTCCTCCCCAATTCTTTTTTTTGAATAAATTTTCTTAACAACTAGGCTTCTCAAATAACAAATGGTTTGAATTCTTTTTTATTGATAACAAGTCTGAGCAACTATAAACTTATCTTAGTAAGGGGTTGTTTTTGAGACGACATTGCTTTGGCACAGTTTAATGGTTTTGTCATTTACAAAAAAGGACTCATTAATGACCAAGCAGTAGTTTATGGGCAATACTGACAGTTGGGTTTGGCACAACTCGGTGGTGATTGACATGCTAAATAAGAGATGCATTTATTTTTTTCAATCTCTTTAACCCCTTTGATGCACTTCCTACGGGTGGCAGAGCTGGGCTAGGCCAGCAACACCACCTGGCTTGCTGGATTTGGGATTGGCTTTGGTCTCTGGTATCACATATTTCATTTCTAGAATTTTACATCCGAGCATATCTAACATTGCTTCTAAGTATCAATTCTCTAACATGGCATGAATGGCTAACGGTGCAGGTTAAATGATTTGGGTGTAATTGGCTACCACTCACTGTATCTCCCCTTAATATATGCCGTGTTTTTAGCGGACTTCTTTCAGGTAGTTACAATGATCAATTTTTTTTCTTCCCAATGAAGAATGACATTCTTATATGCACTTTGTGCTTCATCTGTCACTTGACTCACCTCTATACTAATCGTTGTTTTATTTGGGGGCAACAAACAATTCAGGAAGAAGATTGGCTTCTGGAGGAGGCATACTATTCGGAGATGAAAGACGCGGGGTTCTTTGATGCAGATTGGGAATAGCATTTTACGCGTTGTGATCGCCTCATTGTCTATGTACTTTGTGAATATTTCCACTCATGTGAACTGTCCACAACCCTGTCCTGTAAACGCAGTGGGGGCAGATATCTTCCTCTTTGGTGATTGTGTGTAAACGGACCGTTCTTCTTTTAGAGATGCTAAGAATGTAGAAACTGTAAGGTTAATTCTTGGGGAGCAACATCACCCGCGTCAACGAGTGAGTAGATCTACTGGTCTTCTTCTTTCAACGTGGTAGCAAGGTAATACTTTCTATTCGAGTTTTATTCAATTTTAAAAAAATTCTTTCATACTTTGTGGTATATATGTAATTTGATATATTTTTGCACTTGATATTTCAATTATTCTCTAATAATTATCTTTATTTGAGTGCATCAATCTACAATTTTGAGTGTATTTCATAAGCTTACCTAAGATCAAGAGCCAATAGAGTGGGGTAATTTAAATTAGTGTTACACTGTCAATATATTTGTTCTTTTTTTGATAGGTTACCGCGAGTATACTATGAATGTGCCTGATATTGTTTGTAGTCTAGGTTCTGTTTGGGAAGGCTGCATTGGCATATCTGCAGTGAAGGTTTGAATTATGTTATTGATGAATCTTAGTTTTAATCATGTTATTGATGAATAATGTGTCTTCAAACCTTCATTTTCATGTAGTTATTCTTTGGGTGTTGTTATTTTTCTCAGTCAATGGATGAGCAAAAGAGAGAAATGAAGTTGATGGACCGTGAAGCTACAGTTTCCTCCTATGTAGGTGGTTCATAAAGCCTCAAATATGGTTGGTAGAGAAGGCATCCCTCTTCAGGAAGGATCAGAAAAGGTAATACAATAGGCGTAACTTTTCCTCTCCAATTCTTTTTTTTTGAATAAATTTTCTTAACAACTAGGCTTCTCAAATAACAAATGGTTTGAA